TGTGTGTGTGTGTGTGTGTGTGTGTGTGTGTGTTTGTGTGTACTCGTGGGGAGGGGAGGCGACCCCCCCCACCTCATATCAATCAATCAATCAATCAATCAATCAATCAATTAACCAATCAACCAATCAATCAATCAATCAATCAATCAATCAATTAATCAATCAACCAATTAATCAATCAATCATTTTATTTTTTCTTTACCCCCGGGACAAAATGTTTTTTTTTTTTTTTTTTTTGGAATGGGGGGGTACCCTCTAACACCCGAACCCCCCCCAGCCCATCCACCCCCTCAACACCCCCCCCGAAGGCCACGTACGGAGGGCCCAAAGTCCGTACGTACGGGCCGTACAGGCACCAGGGGCCCTGATGTGACAGGGAACATGGAGTAGTATTGGAACGTTTATGAGGTACGGATACAAATGCGGCGTGGATGGAAGAGGAGGAGTAAGGGGGGTTTAGGTGGTGAAGAAAATTGTTGTTAGGTCGAGGATTGCGGTGTCACGCGCCCTGAGGGGGAGCGCTGAACCTCACGGTCAGGTCATGCAGGATGTTTTGTCTGAAAAAGAACCAGTCACCACTTCAACCGTGTGTGCGTGCTATACCTCTCACGACGCCCTGCGACAGGTCGGGACGTCGCCAGGTACAACTTATCTCTACTCGAGGGCACCACCCTCAGGTAGGCGTATCCCTGTTGAGCTACCGTCCCACGTGCGAAGGCTTTTACATGCCTGAGTAGAGGTAGGTCAGCCGAGGGCGTTTGCTTGATCGCTGTAGCATAATATGGGGTACCCTCGGTAAGACGCCTAGGACTGACCCGTTAGATATTCAGGTCGAACTTTGAGATGGTCGTCTATCTCCGCTTTCATTCCCAAAACATTTTTTTTTTCTGACCTCTGTGATCAATGTACAAAATGCCTTGCCACTACCAAAGATATTATATTCTACTCAACGTCACGGTATGACTGATCATCAGATGATATAGAAGTTATACTTTGATTATGAATATCGAGGTATTACCACTGGGAACCCTTCCCACTTTCACAAGTGCTGAGTGTCCAAAACTCTTCAACAGATCAGGTCCAGTTCAATCCCAAACTCACGAACAAAACAGACCTGCACAACATAATGCAAAGACAATTCACATGCAATGCACTAACGGCGTCAACCATCAACCATTGACATTGTCCCTCACTCCCAAACCATGCATGACAGCCCTATCTTTCCGGAGATGCGGACCCAGCCCCCTCACACTTATTCAAAGGACCATTGAGAGTGACCAGGATCATTTAGGCAATGACCACAGGTGACATTTTTACTGACCACATGGTTTGATTTTAGATGTACGTATCAAGCCCATGCGAAAAAGTTGAATCGGCAACGACCGACCTGTTATCGAGTGATAACAAAAAATTGAGTCCTCTTTGTAGGACTTCTCCTTCAATTGCTGTAGATCAAAACAGATAC